GACTCTGGCACACAACCACCACCACCATGCATAAGGCTAACACCCATGGACAAACTAGACTTGCTGTGAATACTGGACAGCAATGTGACCAGTCCACTGGGGGTTTGCTGATTTCCCAAACCTAATACTGGACTGCTGTGCATGGGGTCGCTATGAGTCGGTTCCAACTCGATGGCACCTGACAACAACAACAACAATACTGGACTCGGTGTAGGAAGACAAGGCTGGGAGGGCTGGAGTGAGGAAGAGCAGGTCCCCTCTCAGGACCTGTTAGGTTGGAGTTGCCACAGATGAAGTGCTGACTGCATTCCTACCAGATACATCCACTCATTTTATTCCCAAGCTTATCTTATCCAAGGACTCATTGAAATGAGATTTTCCATTCTCAGTAAGGAAAAAGACTGTTTTTCATAATTTACCTGCATACATTACATGTAAATTGATATTCAGTAATAAGTGTACAACTTTAACAAAGAAGGAAGCCTAACATTTATGTAACGTTTTATCTTCTGGCCCTTTCAATATTAACCCGCCTTTGCTGCCTCACCCAGACTCCTGACATAGAAGCGTGCTGGCTTTCTGGGGCTCGTACAGCAATGGGAGGGTCCCCAAACGGCTGCTGCGGTCCATTGACAGGGAGCTGCCAGAGGGTCAGACAAGATTCAGAAGCGGCCGTGGAATGAGGGATATCATGCTGATGTCAGATGGCTCTTGGCTGAAAGCAGACAATACCAGAAAGATGTTTACCTGTGCTTTATTAACTACGTAAAGGCTTTCGAGTGCATGGATCATGACAAGCTATGGACAACATTGAGAAATATGAGTGAGTATTTCAGAACACTTAATTGTGCTCATGAGGAATCTGTACCTGGATGAAGAATTAGTCATTCGAACAGGACAAGAGAATACTGAATGGTTTAAAATCATTCAATCTGAATGCTGAGCAAATAATCACCATAGTTGTATTACGTGAAGAAGAACGTGGCATCAGGATTGGAGGAAGACTCTACCACAGCCTTCTATTTTCAGATGATAAAACCTTGTTTGCTGAAAGCAAAAAGGACTTAAAATACTTACTGATGAAGATCAAAGACCACAGCCTTCAGTATAGATTGCACTTCATAAAGAAAACAAAAATCCTCACCACTGGACCAATAAATGCCATGCATATAAATGGAGAAAAGATCGAAGTTGTCAAAAACTCCGTATTCCTTGGATCAACCATCAACACCCATGCAACAGCAGTCCAGAAATCAACCGACGTATTGCATTAGGCAAATCTGCTGCACAAGACCTTTTTTAAAGTGTTGAAGAGCAAAGATATCAATTTGAGGATTAAGGTGTGCCTGACTCAATCAAGCCATGGTATTTTTAATAACCTTATATGCATCTGAAAGTTGGACAA